GCAGCTTCCGGTGCCACTGGAAGAGCCATTATTAGCTGCCACAAATTGAGCTCAGCAGTTCTACAAGAAGTTCCACTCTGAGACCTGGTTTCAAAAAGTGCTGGAGTCCGAGATTCTGGTTTTCACTGGGATGTAAAGAAACGGCTGGACGGGAATTAAAATGTTATGGTTTCACTGATAGCCAGCCCCATGTAAGCAGGCCTTATCTTTTTACAAATGTTGATGATATACTATAAAGTGTATAATCATCACAGCTGTGAACATCCAGGTACCACAGCAAGCCAGAAACAGTTCCAGGGGTTTTGAATCTCTGAACATCTTTCAAGTAACTTGAGTAAGTTCAGCATCTTTAAGTTATTCTTAGTGTTTATATGATCATAAACATAAGTGGTAAATAAGGCATTGTGTTAAGAAACGAAAAAATATTTGAAAAAAATGATCCTCACCCAATTGGTTCCTTCTTGGTGAAAGTCAGATTGCGATTGGGTCTGGCCTGGTTGATGGGAATGGTGCTGCCCTGGAAGACAGTGACATTATTTTAATAAAGGGAAACAAGAGGTTTTAGCTTAGCTGAGTCTTATAAAGTCAACTGTCTTACTTGGATCTTGTCACACCAGCCAGCAAAATAACGGAACGTCTGGATGGACATGCCCACGTGAGTCTTGAGGGCCAAAGTGTAAACGGCTCCAGAGTCCATAGCTTCAATAGTAGCTAACTCATCCTGGTGTTCCTCCATCAGGTCCGCCAGTCTGTGGGAGGAGTTGGAGAAAAAGCAGAGTCTGGAATGCCAGGAAATATGCTTGATACTGCAAATCAGTCAGAAAGCTGAGCTGAACGTCTAAGGTCTGTCAGCTTCACCTACATACAATATGTCACCGGTGTTATGGATGAACGAGCTCAAATAAATATGTTGATGAGTGAGAGATACATTTTTGAGAACTTTGAAATGAATGATGGTGGAGAACGGGAAGGCAACACAGATCTAGTGCAGTTTGGGAGTGAGCTCAACATTTACATCGTGTTTTTCGACAAACTTCTGTTCTGGGTTTTACTGCATGTCTTCCACCTGTCTCCATCCTGTTTCCTACCTATTTACTGTTCAATAAAGGCCACTATTGACAAAAAAAATCAGAAAAAAATGTATGTATTCTAATGTATTGCGGTCTTTATACAAGTCAACTGAATTGATTTGGATTTTTGGGTGAAGGATGTCTGTGTTTTCATGTTGGACCTATTCACTCCTTCAACAGACAGGCTTAACACGATGGACCACGGAACTGGTTCATCTAACCTTGTCCAACAGTCACAAGAAAAACATGCCTTAAAATATTACTTTGTCATTAGAAGGCTTGTTCTGAGTTATTCTTTACAAATTCAGTTTAGTATTAAGTAGAAACCAAGCTACAAGCCAGATACATTAAGTGCTAAATGTAAAATGTAGCATACCTTAGGTACTAAGCATCATCCAGTACTACTTACTTGTAGATGAGTCTTCCTCTGTCCCTTGGGTTCATCTTGCCCCACTCCCCCGATTCGAACGCCTCCTTAGCAGCAGCGACTGCTTTGTCCACATCACTGATCTGGGCCAGAGACACTTCACAGATGGCCTGTAAGACACATCACTTGTCTAGATTTGCTCTTTTTCTAGATTTTTGGTTATGAAGAATGAAGAACTCAGCAAGGTTAGAATCTCTCTTTAAAGGCGTGAAGAAGAAATCATGCTGTTCATCTCTTACCGTGCCATCAGTGGGGTTGATGGTCTTGTAGGTCTTTCCTCCCTCTGCATCCACAAACTCTCCGTTGATGAACAGCTGATGGGGGATCTTTACCGTCATGTTGTTGATGTTCTTTTCCACCTGGGAAGGCAAACCGTTCATAACTAACGCAGTCAGACATTGTTTCCTGGTGGGGTACCGACCGCGTACATAGTCAACCACGAGCTCTTCCTCGCCGTCCTCCCCGCGGAGTTTCCTGACACACATCTGGATGAAATCCTGGAAGGTGGTGTTCATGTAGACGTCCTCGTTCTGCAGCTGGCAGGCGCTGGCACGAAGCTTCACTTCCTCAACCAGCCTGAAGGTTAAGAGAGAGACTTGTTTAAAAAATATATACAAAGCTTCATTTAAATAAATTGAATGTTAACAAAGAAACTGATGGTTTGAAACTGAAGGGTTTCAAATACATAAAGGCAGAATATTAACTAGAAGTTGTTTTTTTATTTTAGGATATGACCAATAGCAATGGGATATTCATATCAAAGGTTCTTTAACGAAAGAAAAAGATGTTAGTAGTTTTTTTGTAATAAACTTTTAACATACGGTTTTGATGCTCAAGTTTCATTCATTCAATTTTTGCAAACAACAATGAAAGTTAGTGGTCAGTCAAGCAGATAAATGTTTTTAGATTGATTAGTTTTATTTACCTGACCACATCCATTGAAGCTGCACCAGACTTGAAGAAATCTGTAGAATCTTCAATCTGGCTGACATTCGTCAGGATACTCTTCCATACCGCCTGACAGAAAAACGGAAAAAGGAAGCAAGATCTAAGTAAGATCTTTGGTTTGACCAGAGTTTAAAATCATTCCTTGTTTCAGTACATCAGTTCATCCCACCCTCATCTGCTCAGCAAAGCTTTTCTCTTCCTCTGTGAGCTCCACAGCTGTGCTGCCCCCGGAGCAGAAGTACTGGGCTGCTGGAATCATCTTGCCATCCTCAAACTGCAGATTCTTCACCAGCAGCTAAAGACAAAAGTAACGAAATGAGCATATACAGTACGATATAATCATAGTGATCATATCTGCCTATCCTGTGATAGTTCCTGAATGCATCTGGACAAAAAAATTAAATAAAACATTATTTTTTCAATTTTATTTTAAAAGAGCAAAATATAATTGCTCCAAAAATAGAGAGGGAGTAAACCACAGGCCTGTTGTAGTGAGACGGGTGTGAAAGGTGAACGTCAGAGCTGTGAGCAGTAGGTGGCGCTAGCGAGAACGCCGGTAGCCTGGATGGTGTCTGCAGCATCCTCCGCGGCGGCTGCTTCAGGAAGCTTTCAACCTTCGGCTCGCATTTAAAGAGAAATATGGCCGCTGCTACTCTGCACTCGTTCAACGCCTTCCTCACGGAGAGGCTGACCGCTGCTGCCGTGGACATCTATGGGTTCGTTGAAAAGACGGTGGTGGAGTACCAGGAGGAGGTCTACCGAACCCAGCTGGAGAACCAGAGGCTGCAGCGGATGCTGGACCTGGTCTACAAACCGGAGATAAGGCTCCACAGGGCAGGTAGGGCTCTCTGGTTGCTGCCCGTCACCCAGCGGTCCACTGAGCCGACCCTCGCGGATCATATCAACCTGTGGTTTAGGGCCTGTTCCAGCAGCTTCCTGCCTCCTGCTGCTATTAGCCGGTCCGGGCTAACCGCTGCGGGTCCCGGGCATCATTTTGGAGAAATCTCCCTGCAGGTTTGGCTGGATTAAAGGGCTGTTTCCCCCCGTTTACCCAGTGTGTCTGACTGGTCCAGTTTAAAGCGGATTATTTACAGTATGTTTTTGTTTCATACGCAGCGGCAGATTTATAAACGCCTTCATTCAGTTACTGAAAACTCTCAGAAATGCATTTAAGAAAATGGCTTATTTCTAAATCAGTGTCGTGTCAAAACACGATTTCATCTGACAGAGTATCAATTATTTGAACTTTCAAATGTGAAAACATCATGTATGTCGGTTAAAAAATGAGAGAGCTGCATCTGAGCTTTAAAGCAGTTTTTCCATTAAAAACTGTAGAAGAAAAACTACATTTCAGAAATAAGATCTCACACATTGGTACAGTGTTCAACAGTTAGTGGTGGATATTCAGCCGTTTTAAAGTCAAACTTCTAACAATGTTAGCTTTATGATGCTATTGTGAGCTGAGGCTTGTAGAAAATATTTTTAGGCACAAGATTCTCATGGATCATTATCAGCTTGAATTGACACTAGTAAAGTCATAATCAGATGTTTACATACACCAAGCAAAAAGAAGCGCAGTAATGACAGAATATGTCAAATTTATATAACACTTTTAATGTGTACTATTAACAAGAGATGTCCTGGACAGGTCAACTGACCCATTTGAGTTAGTTGGACACAAACCTGTGTATGTATTTCAAGGCCACAGCAGAAAACACACTGCTTTCTGGTTCGACCCAATTGCAAAGTCCAAAGAAATCAGCCAAGATATCAAGAAGAGAAATATGGCTTTGCTCCAGTCTGGTTCATCAGTGGGAACAATTCCCAGATACTTGAAGGTTCATTCATCTCTTCAAACAATTATACGCTACGGGTGGGCGATATGGACTCAGAAGTTTTATCACAATACTTTATGGTACTACTGTGATATCAGTAAAAGTTATAAGAATTATTTGTTACTTTTTTTTTTTACATACCTGCATTGCTGCGACTTCAAGACAACACAAACATGCATATGGCCTGTGGGGCCATATGCATGTTTGTAATACACTTCTTTAGGACACCAGTCACATAAACTAATGTCTTTTATACCACTAAACTGCACACACTAACTGCATTTAATCAGTATTTTAAATGGTTATTGAACAAAAAGAGTTCAATGAGAGTCTACGTCTAGTACAGTAAAAAATAATCTCAACAACCCAGTCAGTTTTATTGGGCTTTAAGTATCGTTAACTAGAATTTAATGTGACAACGATAAATCAATATTCTTGTCACAAGAAATGTATCACGATAATTGATCAGTGATATGATAAATGCGTATTATGCGCAAGTACAGAGAGGTTATGGGTGGAGCTGATAAGGTGTGACGAGTGAGGCGGCCTACAAAACGGACTCTGTTACACTGGGTCTGTGAGGAATGGGCCAGAACTCCAAACTGTTGTGTTGTGAGAACAGAAGCTTGTGGAAGGAAAACCCAAAAGGTTTGACCCACGTCATGACGATTATGAATTCAAAGGAGGTTACAAAAATTGATTTGTGTAAGTCCAACTGATCTAAAACAAGAGAGGTTTGGTCTGATTTAACTTCAGACGGTAAGGAAGAAAAAAAGGTGCCTTCTTATCTGGTGTATGTAAACGTCTGGTTTACCATCAGATCGATCAGGAAGTCCAGCTGGTTTCCAGGTGATGTCATTCTAAGACTACTTAGTCTCAGCAAGTGAACAATAGTGACACCTTGTGGACTCGTATGGCAGTACTACGAATGCAATCTTAAGGAAAAGGAAGCTAAGCAAAGGTTGTGACAGCAGAATTAATTGTAGGCAACAAATACCCACCCTCAAGATGTGGCACACTTCCAGCTTTATCCATCATAACCACTTATGGCTGAGGAGATGGGCCTCAGCCATATCTGAATATCCAGAATTTAAAGTTACTAATGGGGAGAAGTATTTAGTTCCACTTTATGATGGTCCTCATTTGTGTTTGTCATTGTAGATGCCAAACCTCCAGTAGCTACGTCCACAGAAGAAGTTGCTTCTAAGCAGCAGGAGTTGAGCGTGGAGCAGCCGGGGGGTTCAGAGGTCAAAGAGGAACAGAGCGAGGAGCAGAGGGAGGAGCTGTGGAGCAGCAGTGCGAAGGAGGAGGCGTCCATGGAAGACAGCGACGACGGCGACGCCTTGACCAGAGAGCTGATCAAAACCGTCCAGCAGTTGGAAGACTGCAGAGCGGCGGAGGAGAGCATGGGCTCCCAGGAGACTTTTCTAGAAGATCCTAAATTGCCGGAGGAAAAGACAACCACCACGCTGTACCGCTGCCACATCTGCAACTACATCTTCACCAAAAAGATCGTGCTGACATGGCACCTCAAGATGCACGAGAGCAAGGCCAAAGACGGCAAGGGCAACTTCGACTGTCACATCTGTGGCAAGCACATCCCCTGCCAGAGCAACCTGCAGAACCACATGAGGGTCCACACTGGGGAGCGGCCCTACAGCTGCCATTACTGCGGCAAGGGCTTCAAGCTGAAGGGCCACATGACCGAACACCTGAGGACTCACACCGGAGAGAAGCCCTTCAGCTGCCACATCTGTGACAAATCCTTCAACCGAGGCTCCACCCTGAGGAAACATGTGTTGGCGAAACATAAGGAGCAGCGGCCGTACCGCTGTGACTTTTGTTATGAGTTATTCACTGAGAAGCTGCTGATGAAGAGACACATCAGGAAAGTCCATAGTGTCAAAGCCCAGTCTCCCAGTCAGAGCCAGGCCTAGCTCAGCCTTAACGGAGCTTCTGGAACTTTGGCGCTATACATCCTGAAATCTTTCACAATGTTACCTTGATGACTTTAATACTGACTTTAACGTTTATGTTGAATGTTTTCTTAGCTTATATGTGGACTTGTAAACTATCTTATGTTATTAAACTAGTGGACGTAGAGTTTTACAGTTGGCACCGGGCCTGGAGACAACATGAAGTTTTATCTGTTAAGGAATTAAGTTTGTCTCAGCTGCTATTCACTGTCAAACCTGTTTAAATAAAAACCCGTTTTATTATCGTCTGCTCTGGTAAGTCATTGCACTGGAAACACATTCACACCTGATCGATGTCTGTAAACCAGGAGATCACTAACGGTCCAGCTTTATTCCAGCATTAGTCATTTCATGTGGAGGAACATTTCTTGCAACATCTGAGGTAAAATAAAGTTAGACTGCTGACAAAGAGGCCTGAGGTCAGGCATGGACAAGTTCTATAAGCCAGGTGTGTATCTGGTACCAGAACTCAACAGAAACAGGAAGGAAGAAAGGAAGTGATATTTAGATAGTGGAATACAGAATAATGTCTGTAAATACAAATATTTTTCCAAACCTTGGTTTTCTTTTATACAAACCCATTTTATACTTTCCTAGATTTTGAAGACTGTGTGATAACTTCTCCACTTCTCCAGATGAGAAGTGGTTGGTAAATAAACCCACTGATGTAATTACCAGTTATTTGTACTGCATGTTGCCTGGCTGCTTACCTACAGAAACCCAAACTTAAAAAAAAAAAAAAAAACTGCGGTCGGAAAGCTATGAGCAGGATGTCAGGTGTAGTCAGTGGGATAATGCTTCCTGCATTACAAGTGTTTTTCTGTTTGAATTCAGAGAAATTAAATCAGAGGTGTCAAACTCCAGTCCTGGACGGCCACTGCCCTGCAACTTTTAGATGCGCCTCTGCTGCACCACACCTGAATAGAATAATTAGGTCATCAGCAAGGCTCTGGAGAACTGATCTACACAAGGAGGAGGTAATTTAGCCATTTCATTCCAGTGTTTTGTGACACATCTAAAAACTGCAGGGCAGCGGCCCTTGAGGACTGGACTTTGACACCCCTGAATTAAATCATGTTTTAACATTTTCTCTTCTGTTGCCTCTTTCCCCAAACANTTCCATCTTAAAGCTGCAGAGAGCGCCTCCCTGCGACATTATAAGTGAAGAGGCAACGTCTCAGTGGAGAGCTTTTACAGACACCCGTTACCTGTCTGTTCAAAACAATGGCAGGTCAACTCTGCATGAAGCCTGTTCTGAGTCTTGCTTACACTTTAAATTCTGCAGCTGGCTAAAGCTCCACTGACTTGTGAAGTTGGCGCAGGGCTTTGACTACCTCCTTTGGTGAGTCAGAGGAAATACAGAGGCAGGTTGACCTTGACCCCTTGACCCCTCTCCACATTGATCCTTCACAAAATACATCAGCTGCAACCTCTGACCTTTACAGGCCCTGTACTCCTCCAGGACTCCAGGTCGGATTGCAGCCTGGACCAGAACGTCCTGCCACAAGAAAAGTTTCTTTCCCTCTGCCATCAGACTGATAAACAATAGTTAATTGTCTCTAGCACAACACAGGACCCACATCCACCTGCTACTCTGCATGTGTATACAAATTATATATATATATATATATAAATATATATATCCCCTCACCGTCTTTCCGTCATTTCCAAACAGCACCAGACCAGTCTTGGTGACGATGCCAGGCTGGCTGGCTCCAGGAATGTCCAGAGGCTGGCCATTGGCCGCAGTGCCGTTGTCCACCAGAGTGGAGCCAAAGAAGGTCACTTTCTGCAGAGAGAGAGATGGCCAAGTACTGCAGTGAAAAAGTGGAAACCTGCTCCTGAAATGAACATCTCTGGGTCAAGATCTTTTCACTTTTGAATGCATGAACATATCAGCTATTAACTTGACAAGACCAGATGTTTCCTGATGTGGAGAATGAATTGAAGCCTATGTGGAATAAAGTATGTCCTGATGTACCTGGGGTGAGAACAAACCCAGAGCCTGTGAGGCTCTTCTGTTACCTGTCCGTCAAGCTCTGCCCAGGCCCCAGGCACTTTGTCATTTCCTCTGATCCAGTTGTGAATGGCCTCAGCCGACTGGTTCCAGTCAATCTACCAACACAGAGAGCAGCTGTCATCTGTACCGAAGGGGAGGATTTTTTGTCATCGAACACTTTTTATAATGTTCCTATAAGGACAGTTTTCGCCAATGAACAAAGACTGTCCTTATCGGCTACGTTGATGCAGCAGGCAAATGCGACTTTTTCACCGCAGTCTGAGCAGCCCAATTATTCATTGTTTTTGATGTGTGACATGCATCATAATTCTGCAACAAAAAAAGGCATACATGGTAAAGTCGGATTTAAACAGTCACTGAAAGTAATGATGATGAACTTATGAAAGAAGTCTGTCAGTGAAGTGTCAGTCCAAACACTTCTCTACAGAAGCTGCAGCCAACGCTCCACAAAATGCCATCGCTGTTAGTTTTTTTTTATCAGTTTCCTTTGTGTTATGAACATGTGACGACACTGTTGAATACCGTTGCTGAATAAACTTTAAAACTGATCCACAGACTGCACCATTCAATATTACTGCCATGACATAGTACGAGACGACTACGTTCTTCTTCTGTGCATGTGGGTTGCTGTGGAGTTGTAAACCTCTGGTGTTGGGTAGTAAATTAAGAGTTTCCTTTCACAGACAAATGTGTCACCTGTCAGAGCTGTGATCCATAAATTACACTCCTCCTCATTAAATGAGATGTGATTATAATAAAGAATGTTCATTCATTCATTCACAGTTTAATTATAAGTAAAGACTGAAGTCAGAATTAAACATTTTTGCAAAAACTTCAGACTCGGATAAACATTTAAAGTGCTAATGAGGCTCGCGCCATGAGTTTTGCCTCGTCATTTATATGACGTTACAAATGGAGTGTTTTTGTTTCTCTTACCTTCGAATTGTCTTTCTTCTGAATGCACTCATAAGTGGCTCCCTCTTGAGGTTGTGTGATCCTTGGGGCCTTCCCTTTGGTGATCAGTCTGACCGCTTCTACCTGCAAACACAGAAATGCTATTCAAGCTGCTGAAGCAAACACACAATAACGGTCAGGATTTTTCTGCCCCAGTCTGATCATGTTGGAGACTTGCAGAAGATAACGAGAGGATAAAGAGAAGGTGAACCCATAAAACAACATACTTATGTAGGACTGTCGTTTGCTTTACTACATTCTGTAATGGGCCAGTGTTAGAATAATTGGGATTCCCATAAAACGAGGCAGTTATTTGTAACAACTCAACAATCAAGATACTCAATAAGATCAAAAAGTCCCTGAACAACTTTGTATTATTAGGTAAAAACTCACCTTCAATTTCAAAAATCTGAATCTTGGGAATCATCTGAGAAGAGTGGCTGTTATAATGTTTCTAGATCAAAATCAATAACTGAGCAAAGTAGAACCATGTGATCAACCTTTATACAAAAGGTAACTTAAAATGCCTCACAGGAAAACAAATCCAGCCGGCAGCAGCAGACTGCCTAATACTGTAAAAGTATGTCATTAATTTCACATAAAAATAAGACCAACCAAATAGTGTCTCTCTTCAGGAGATGAAGTTGCATTTAGGGTGGTCATTATAAGAAACTGAATTAGTATTATCTTCAGATACAGTTCTAAATGGGTACTGGACCCTGTTGGCCCCTGTGTAGAACCGCCCATGGACATCATACATTCATTACAGTCCCAAAGATGTACTCTGCGGCCAACCTCCATCACTCACCATGCCTTTGACGCCCTCTGGGAAGAGAAATCTCTTGTAGATTGTGTTGACAGTGTCATTAGGTTCAACATCACACTCTCTCTGCAGCAAAATCGGTCCAGTATCAAGTCCATCATCAGCCCAGAACACCGTGAAGCCTCCCTTCTTGTCTCCGTGGATGAGGGTCCTGTGAAGGACAGTCCAACAGATGTTGGGTCGCTACCAGGAATCCCTTTCAGTTCCAACATGAGCTTCACTGACCAGTTGATTGCCGAGGCTCCCCTGTGGCGAGGCAGCAGCGAGGGGTGGTAGATAATAGAGCCATGTTTGGGGTGGTCAATGACCTCCATGGGGATGAACTGGGAGCAGAAGGGCAGGACATTGAGTTCTGCTCCTGTAGCCTTGTACCGGTCCACCACCTCTGGGATGGCCTGACCCTTCACTCGCCACCAGGGGAACTTAAAAACAGGGACGCCGTCCTTCTCTGCCACCGTGGCTGCAGCAGAAGAAGAGAAAACATGCAGAAAACCCTCACCAACATTTAAAGGCAAGTCTATAATATGGAGAGAGTAACATTTCAGGACTTTACATTAGTTTCCATTATTTTCTGTCTGTAATTTATTCTGTTCAATGACCATTTATTTAATCATATACTCAGTGAAATGGAAAATATTAATTACATTTTACCAGAGCAAATATTTCAAGGCATTGCAAAATAACAACACTCAGCCTACTTCATCCATCATCCAGACTGATAGAGGTCACTGACTTTGTTTCTCATCGGTTCTTGGAAACCTACTTCATTTTATTAGACTGGTTCCATTTCAGTAATTCGTAGATGTATAGGTCTACCAGTAACCAGACATGAGTATGATTCTTTAACTTTAATCAGCTTTTGTGTTTAATCAGAGTTAACTGTTGACAAAGCCCAGGATAGCTTTTTTCCCTTTATAAATAATTAAGGGATCGTTTCAAAACAGCTCTTTTGTTTTCATGTATATTATCTTTGTTATTCATGTTTTTGATGCTCTAAAAAAAATTTAACTCACAAAAAAAGCAAACTTAGAATAAATGAATAAGGAGGATATATAATTTTAATTGAACTGTAAAGAGTCAGAAAGAAAGAACAATTATATGAAATCTCTGTCTATATAAAAAAAAATGTCTAAAGACAGATCGCAGTTTTTCATAACCATCTGCTGTGCTGAATAAGGCCCTCACCCAGCGGGTCGGCCTTGCCATCCTTGTCTGGAATAGTGAAAACCCCGACAATGGTGTGGCCGTCCTTCCGCAGCTCCTTGTAAACCTCCTGGCCGAACAGGCTCTGACCGATGACTGCAATCTTCATTCTCGGGACCTTGATGTTATTTCTGAGAGGACAAACATGTGTCCACGCAGACACACGAGAAGACAAAGTGAGCCGTTTTCTGTCATGTTTTTTTGGGATCCTCTTAACCCACATGCAGAATCAGTCGGAGAACGCAGAGCTGAAAAGGCAATGATGTTTATATACAAAGTGAGAAATGTACATCAGGGGAAGGACTGGTTCAGCAAGTCCTGGAAAAGAGATTGGATCAGCAGCTGGCAGACAGGCTGATGGATCGTTGGAATGCTGATTCACTCTTACTATTTGTTCCGGATGACGACAAGTCATATGACGAGTTCATCAATTCATCAATCGTTTAGCAGTGATGCAAGTCCACCTGACTTTACATCTGTCTAATATTTAAGAAAGTGGCTGTTGGTTACATACATGGACTTAATTTTTTGGACCAACTTGTAAACACATTGATATAAGCCAGCATTCACACACATTTAGAAAAGCATTAAAACATTTTCATTTTTAACCATTTTAACCATTAGAATGTTCAGCAATTAACATACTTATACTTTTTATGATAACAGTAAAACATGTTTACTATTACTATTCATGTGTGTTTTACTTATAGGATCATCAATCTATAGTTTGGGGTTTATCTATTAAGGATCTGTATCGCTAAAACCACTTGAATTGTTAATGTTTTTCTGTATTTTTGTTTGATTACAGCACAGGTGCACCTCAGGGCTGTGTGCCAAGTCTGCTGCTTTACTCATTGTACCCCCATAGTGATTCAAATGATAAAGACTTGAACTATATCACTCAATGTGTGAGGATTCTATATAATATTTGAGTGTCATTTTCTGAGATAAATGAGAAAAACTATCACATGTTTATGCCATATTCACATTTTTTGAGATGTACTAGTGTTGATAGTGCCCTAAGATACTAAATGACTGCGACTACATCATATTGCATGATGTACAGCACCAGACAAAGAACTAAACACAGACTCAGTGGTGACACACTAAAAGATCATTGGCTGCTGCCTAAATTGGACGGCATTGGAACGCCCTACTATCCAGTTACAACCAGGAACATCGTTAAGAATAAAAAACGTTCAGCTGCTCTCATCAGGCATGAGATGCATAACTGACTAATGTTGTTGCTCATATGCTTTGATTGATGTGTGTGTTATTGTGCGTGTCTCTTATGTACCAAATGATCCGAATCCAGATGCATCTTTCACTGCTATACTATTCTAATCTGGTTTTAAACTATGAATTAGTGGATGCCTTAGGAAAGCCAACACTGATGATTAAGATTCAGCCTTTCTGGATAAGCAGCTTAAAGTTTATTTTCCATTTGTTTCTACGATATTAGAGAAAAAAGAGAAAATTGTTACACAGTTTGTGCTCAGCATTCATGACTCCAACTTAGCAGTTCATCTGGCATACACAGACGGGCAGGGCTTGAACTTCTGCCAGCCTGCTCAAACCAATCAAATTCCACCATTCAGTTCATACCTCTAGTCCTGGCCAATCAGATGCTCTCATGATGCATTATTAAAGCTTCATAGGAGCAAAGTTCACACACAACTCTAAATTTCTCTCAATGAAAACCGATGTACCCCACATCCATACACACACACACACATCACGCAGCAACTTATTTCTTCTCATATATCTGTGTATGACTTTTATATGCTGAATATTATTTTTATTGCACATGTTCTTGCACAAATGAATTATCTTTCCGTGTGTGTGTGTGTGTGCGCGCGTGTGAGTGTGAGTGGCTGCAGATGTGCTCTTCTCCCCTGCAGAGAGAAAGTGCACCAAAAGTAAAAGCTAACATGCTGCCTTACCCTGCTGCAGACTTGGTTCTCCTCTTGCTGGGAAGCAATGAGCAGAAGAGAAAAGTTGCTTTAAATTCCCTTCTTTCAGTCTCACATGCAGGCGCCTCAATTACATAACGTGCAAAAGCAGCAGAGCGATTGGACAGGGCAGGCCACTTAGGGTGCTAGAGTGGGCCAGTCAGAACATACCACCTCTGACTGGGCCCAATCACAACAAAGCAAAGTTCTGGCAGCTGTTATCTACCAAACACACTGACTGCTTTATCTGTCCAGACACATACAACTGGGCTTAAACTCTGCTTTAAATAAGATCTCTATATTTGTTTCTAGCTTCATTATTATTCTGTGTTAGTTTCTCATTTTGATTCAATCAGTCTTGTTCTTGTTTTTCTTTAGTTCAGTCCTTTCTTAGTGATTTTAGTTTATCTTTATTTCTTGCATCTCCTTAGTTACACTAGTTTCCTTATGTTTAGTTTTGCTTTACTGTTAGATTCATTTCCTAGTATTGCTCTCTCTCGCCCCCTGTTCCACTTTGTCTCTCTCTCCCCTCACACCAGAAATCAGTAAGCCAATCAGCCCAGGTCCTTTATTCCAGCATTCACTCTCCCAGTAGCTGTACACATTTCCTTCTCTCACTCCTCACTGCTTCCTCCGTTATATTCCACTGTTCCCTGCCGACCTTTTCTTTTGGATTTATGTTTTTTTTGTTCTTCTCTGACTTCCTTGGTTTCCTGTGATTTTTGCAAGTTTTTTGCTTTTGATTTTTCTTAATAAGTTAACGAAAAACTACTCTACACCTCAGCCTGCTGCATTTATGTCCACACAACCTACACAGCATGACTTTAATACATAATTACATTCCCACTTTTGCACTAACACCCGTCTTGCTTGGTTTCCAAACCCCAAAGCTTTCCTGTTTCCTGAAGGCTAAGTAACAGCGAACACAATGTTCTCGTAGTTATATGGCGCACATAATGCAGTTCTGCTGAATATCAGGTAGGTTGATGAAATTATGGATAATGACTTACATTCATCTGGCATCACACAAACATGCTTCTCTGCTGCTGGATTGATTAATAAAAGTGTTAGTGATGAATCTTTGCTTTCAGGTTTGGATCAACAAAAATAAAACAACTTCATTTCAAACTAGAGTTGCGTCTCACTACTGAAGAATGTTGAGGGGATGAAATTGGCGTGTTTCACACCGAGTATGTTTTATTGGCTGACTGAAACTAACTCTGAAGCCAAACGCAGATTGGTGAAAAAATGTAGTTTCTTTAGTCTTTCTATAATATGATTTTTACAGGTTAACTCTGAGATCTTGAGTAACATCTTAAAACATTAAAAGTGAAACCAGGACAGGGAGAGGTTTTACGGATTTCAGCTGAGTTAGCTGATCAAAGCAAACATGAACCACACTGAGCGACATGGTCATTGTTTTTGCTCTTCTGCAGATGCAACTCATGTTTCATGGTGATTATTGCTTTGCTGCACTTGGTACTCTCTCATAACAACTGTCAGCGCATAAAAATAGATTACTCAATGACGATAAGGAAGCAGGAAACTCATTAACCGTATCATTCAGCAGCTAAAAGCCGGGGCAACATAGCTGAAAAGCCCAAAACTTTTACCAAGCAGCATCACCCAAACACACACTGATGACTCTGCTTCCAGCTAAAGTCAATAAGAGATCAGATTCACACATGGGATATAAAGCTTGACCTCAATGGCCTTCATTGATTACTAAAATCTAAGACTTTAGTGTTTATTTTGTTGCCCCATGGTTTTGCAGTTTGTGTCCTGTTAAGTTTTCTGTGCTGATTCTGCTGTTTTCCTCAGTCCATGTCTTTCCTCTCTTTAGGAACTGACTTTGTTTAGACCCAGCTGACCTGGAATCAACAGGGAGAACGCTTTAGTCAGCTGTGTGAACTTATTTTCATGTTCAGTAAATCTTTTTGAGATGCAAACACCAAAGTAAGTCCAGTATTTCCCATTCTAACTAAATGTTTGGATTTGTTTCTTCTTAACCTAAAAAAAAGTACATAACAATTACAATGACATAGTTTTGTAAAGCCAAGATGTTCAGTTATCAAATGAAATGGTTTAGTCTGAATGAAGGCTAAGTTTGGAATTTAATAATTTTTCCTGGGGTTTCCAGCTTTTTTCAAAAACGATTTTCCAAGTAACTTAATATTTTTTTGTTTTATGATGTGAGCAGTTTTTAACCTATCCAATTACATTTTTAGCGAATGCCTCTTTTTCTTTACCTGGACCATTGCAATGTTGCAAAAGTTAAACTCATTCTAAGAACTTGACCTCTGCTTGGGAAGTCCTGGTTTAATCTGCATTGAACTGTCTGAGTTTCAAACAAGATGTAATTATTAACAAAAACAGTCATGATGACAACATTTCTCCTCTGCACAGGCTTGCTGTAGTGAGCTACAGCAAGCCTGTACTAGGTGTGCACCAGGTCTTTATACACTTGTTTACATTACTCATGGGGACTTCACATTGCCTTCCATTCATTTCTACAACCTAACCCTTACCATAATCCTAACCCTAACCATCACATACCTAATCCTTACCCTAAACCTAACCATAACAGACATAACCCCTAACCCAAAAACAACAGTTGCCCTCATGGGGCCCAAGGAAATGTCCCTACAAGGAGCAATGGTCCCCACAAGCCCACATTGTAGACAGAAATAGGTTCACATAAGGATATGTGTGCGTGTGTGTGTGTACGTGTGTGTGTGTGTGTGTATGGACAGTGCAGAAAGAGTGGGGAGGTATTTGAGTATTTGAGTTGGTTGGTCTGAGCTGAACTAGTCGGTTCTGGTCCTCAGCAGTACCACGAGTTAATGATCCACTCAGGACATAAGCTGACCGTCAGACCAGCTGTGCTGACCCAGTGGTTGGATGGTTCCTTTAGAATTGCTCATTTTTCAGGAAAACCTATGGAAAGCTTTTTCCGGTAGATGAATCCAAACAGTTTTGTTTCCGTAAAAATAAAAAATAATCAACATGTGGCTCCAGGGACGGGCCGAGGTTCAACCTAAACCTGGTGACACGTTCACACAGAGGAACTTTTCCTCTTCCTGTGGTTTAACACCACCTGGTGCTGCGCTGTACTGGTCAGCTAACCGGAGGAAGCCTCCAACAATTTTCCCCTGCTTATAATAAAAAAATAAAAAAATTGGCTTTTAGCAGACTAACTTTTGGCACGGCGTTGAATGAGACACACATGAAACATAATTTGGTTTTTTGTTCTTCCTTTTTTGTTTGAAGATGCAAGATACCTTTCATTTCACACAGGTGCATTAAATTATGTCAGCTGAAGTGATGCATAATAAACCAATAGGAAAACAAATCATGGCACTTAAAAAAAATCAAAACCATTCAAAATGTCAAGGTGGTTTTCAGTCTGTTGGTCCTACAATGTGCCATCCTGGTGGCAGCCGGTCGTATTCAGTGAACATTAGCTGTTCAGGGTCTGTGGATGTGTTTGTTGCTGTTCTTACCATTCCCTGTTGGGTTTGTAGTCTTTTGCAGCATCAGTACAGCTGATTGTAGCACATTGTAACATTTCTTCATCTATTATTGTCTCAAATCTTACTCTTGTTTGCACTCTGTAAGTCGTCCGTTACTGTGATTGGTCTTTACGTCTGGTTCATGTTGGTGACCGGCTTCATTGAATCCCACGGCACATGTTCTGTGTCGAAAGTGTGAAAACTGCTCCGTAGCTTTCTTATGACATTTCCCCGGCCTTATTTGGATGGCATCTAACTCGCTGTGTGCCACCTGCAGGGAAAGGAATGGCGCGCCAACCTTCATCTACAGGAAAGTCACATTTTAAGTTTAAAATCAGACAAGCAGGATTGCTTGAGGAGCCATGGAAGAGGGCAGGTCCTATCCTGGCAGACAGCCTGACGAATTAACTAGCTACTTTCAACGTGCAATATCTATGTTAATCTATAAAAAGGCAGAGCAGGAAAAAAATGACAAACTTTTGTGCATTTTTAAAAATTTGCTTAACCTTAACCGTCACCCCAAAAGCACTTGTATATTAAGTCAATAGTCCATGAGGACACCGATGTCATCATGACAGTTAAAGAGTTAAAAACTTGCTTTGAGGCTGACAGATAGTTATAGATTATTGTATTACTATTAAAACATAACCTATACTCACTGAGTTTGAAGCTCCAGCTGAGGAACAATTTTCAGGTGGACTTTAATAAGTTTAGGACCATATAATAAATATAATAGTTTAAGTTACCTCATCAGAATTATCCAGGGGTCACGTGGGGTTAAAGTGTTTATGTTTTCATTGCTTCAATCATACACAAGAGGGCAGCATGCTACAACAGATCAAATAATATAAAAGACTGCTGAAGCCAGGAAGTTTAATTTAATTTATCAGAAACAAAGTGAAAAAATAATCATCTGAAATGAAATGTTTCAGATAGATCAATGGGTCTGATTGACTTTGGATCAGTATTCTGAAATGCTTAGCTTCTTTGTGTATTACTCTCTCTCATGTACGTTCCACCGCACAACAGTTTATCCATTGTGAATATTTTCCAGTACAAAAAGAAATTATATATATATATATATATATATATATATATATAAACACTTTATTTCTGGAATATCCCAGCCAGCACACCTATGTGGGCCCCATATGGGATAAATGAGACCCTACATGGAAACCAAGGACAAAACCTTGTGGAACCCATATTGCTTTCCCTCACTTATCCCATATGGGGCCCCCTTAGGTATGCTGACTGGGAGACTGGGATGTTGCCTCCTGCAAGTATATTAATGTTAAAAAGAACCTTAAGAAACTGATAATAGATCATAAATTTGTATTGAATTTACGAAATGGCTAAATTGATATTCAGAGTTTGGTGTCATTTGTTTTTAATCTATTTTTGTTTGTTTTTGATCTTTGAAATTGTTTTTGTGTGTTTTAATGTATCTTATGATGTTCTTTTGCAGTGTTCGTAAAAAGCTACAGTTGTTGAAGTGGCTGATTGGAATTTACCATTTAATTTAATTTTGTTTGTATCTTAAAACAACAACTGAAGTTTTACTCCAACTTCAGTTATTCTTCCATAATGTCAGATGAATGTACTGATTATTTAGGCAAAGAAA